CAAGTTGGGACTCCGCCAGTCCTGTGTGTGTGTGTGTGTGTGTGTGTGTGTGTGTGCGTGTGCGTGTGCGTGCCAGAGAGAGAGAAAGGCAGACAGACAAAGATAAAATATAGTATCTGAACTTGTGGTTGTATGTAAGTGAGCGTGTTGCCCAGCATGTGTGTTTGGTTCCTTGCGGTCTGGACAAGCACCACAGGGAATGCAAAGAATATTAAACAGGGTTGGTTGTAACACTCTGCGGACACTCTGGGCAGGGATCCATTAATGCCGTTGGCACACAGACTCTAATATGCAGACGTGCAGTATATCTTTTTGCAGTGGTGAAACAACTTTATAAATGCTTTATTTAGCATTACAAAAAAATACTTCCCCTAAGAGCAGCTATTTTATAATATATAATATTTTTATTATAACAATGAATAATACTGGACTGGACTGGAAGTTTATCAGGTGGACACAAACTCCAAACAGATAAATTCATGCTAGCAAGTTCGCCATATCATCTTTTAAAGGTCAGAATATGTCAGCATTGTGTTCACACCTTGTACTTTTCTGTATCTACAGTTTGGGGGATTTTCATGACCTCAGATTAGTCTAAGACAAAAAGGATGGAAAGGGGAAAGGAAGGCAGGATGCAAGGGAGCAAAGAAAGAAGGACAGAAAGAATATAAAGAGAGATAGAATAACTTCTAGTATTAGCCAAATACTAGTACTAGTTACTGTCCCTGTCTGTCTATTAGCTTGTATATTGTAATATGACAAATTAACTTGAAACACAAAAAGTCAGTCCAGTCTTGGCCGATCGTGACATTCTGTCACTTGCAATAAAAACTACAACCAGTTGGAAAAATCCAGTGACCAATGGAAAAAGACTCCACACACTTAACAATACACAAAAGGGTTGTGTATTGTTCACAAACAGAAGTTTATTGTTGCCCTTGATAACAACATTCCCCATCCTGTGCCAGAGATGAGCCTCCTCCAGTAAACTCCTGGGTTTGACCTTTAACATTTGAACTTTGAACCTCCCCAGGAAAAGGAAGTTGAAGTGACCTGACATCAAGATGGCAGCAAAGGTTGGATGGTGCAGACAGCACTTTGATATGGGTTTCGCACTTGGCTGTTGGCCCAAAGGCAATACAGAAGCATAAGGCATAAAAAAGTGCTGGCAATGATCTATGTGCTGACAGAGGCGAGGAGGGAGAGAGAGAAAGTGTGTGTGTCTGTTTAAGGAAAAATTATGCAAAAAAAAAATCAGCTGGCTAATATAGAGCTCCCATTGTACACCACTTTGCCTCGGACACAGGTACTGATAGGGCTCAATGGTGTGCATTAGGAGACAGCGCTGTTAATGCCACTGTTCTGAGAAAGGTATTTAAATTAAGTGCTGAGCATTTACGCTTATATACACGCTTTTGACCTGCATGTCCTCAATGTTTGTATTGGTGTATATTGGTGTATGTACAGTATATAGATATGTAAAAAATGTTGGTGTGTGTGTATTTAGTAAATATTCCTTCCTCTAGATTATTCACATAGCTATGCATGTTTGTGCATACAGGCTACATCCAAATACTACTGCATTGTGATGTGAGTGTTGGATATTGTTTGTATTGCCTAAAACAACCATTGCGGACTAAAAGGTAGTAATACTGGGATTTTAACACACAAGATAACAGTTTATAAACTCCATATGTTACCATGAACATACACACTGCTGTAAATTGTCAAGATAGGAGGAAGGATGAAGGAAGAGTGATACCGGTGAAAACCACGTATTATCACATATACTTAGATTTCATACTCTGTCCAGAGATCATTTTTTATAACTTGTTTTCTTTGACTCTCCTTTACATCTCTGTGTCTCCTTACCCACACTGCCATGCTCACCCATCTCCCTTCACTGTCCATCTTCTCTATCCACCTCTCTTACTTCTTTCTTCCCCATTCCTCCATTCCATTTCACGCTCACCTCTCAGGGAGCTGGCATGGCTAACAAAGGACCGTCCTACGGCATGAGCCGGCAGGTTCAGGATAAGATCGACAGCAAGTATGACCCTGAGCTGGAGCAGATTCTGGTGGAGTGGATCAGCCGTCAGTGTGGCTCTGGCGTGGGAAGGCCAGAGCCAGGCAAAATGGGATTCCAGGCCTGGCTGAAAGACGGATGTGTAAGTGCAAAGCATCAGTCTGATCACTTGTTTTTTCAAGCTGTTATGATGTCTTAAGGTTAATTATCTTTTTTCCCCTTCCTTAACTTCTCTTCCACCATCCCTCGCTCCATCTTGTCTCCCCAGGTTCTGAGCGAACTGATTAACAGTCTGTATTCCGGAGACAAACCTGTGAAGAAGATCCAGAGCTCATCCATGGCCTTCAAACAGATGGAGCAGATCTCACAGTTCCTCAATGCTGCCGAGAAGTACGGTGTCACCAAGACTGACATGTTCCAGACCGTGGACCTTTGGGAAGGTCAGAGGGGTCTCATGGGGTTCATTCCTCCATTACTGCAAACTTTACAGTGCACAAGAAGTGAAACATCATAATGTGACTAATGCAAGGGTTAATAATGATAGCTGTATGTGTGTTTGTGGGACAGGTAAGGACCTGGCGGCGGTGCAGAGGACCCTGTCCGCTCTGGGTAGCTTGGCCGTCACTAAGGATGAAGGCACATACAATGGAGACCCTAACTGGTTCTTCAAGTGAGTCCATTATTGGAAACTATTTTATCTAACTAACTTCTGACTAGGAATTTAGTCTTAGTCATTTAGTGACATTTTCAATGATTCTTTGCAGGAAAGCACAGGAGAACAAGCGAGACTTCAGCGATGACCAGCTGAAGGCGGGCAAAAATGTGATTGGCCTACAGATGGGGTCCAATAAGGGAGCCAGTCAGGAGGGCATGAGCTACGGAAGACCCCGACAGATCCTGTAAAATCACTGTGCCACACATACCCAAAACCTCTTCAGCCCCTTACACTTCCTTAGAGCCTGTAACCGGTCCACTACAACCTTAAAACCTTTTCTGCTTTAGAATGTAGTTACTTTCTAACAAGTGCCCCCTACTTGCTTGGTCTCGGAACCCCTTATGTAGATGCTTATGCTGGTGACTATTTCAGAGCTCACCATGCTTAGTCTTCCCCACTGCAGATAGGACCAGTACAACTGAATGTTTGGAGTCTTAAACCAAAATAGTAACCATAAAAATGACCAATGCATTGCCTTAGAGGTAAAAACTCCAAAATGACCATGTGCCAAAGTTGCCTGCTCCTTCCTTCTACAAGGTTTAAGAAACGGCACTCATATTACAGATAACCGACCAGTTTCATCTGCCACTTCCCACAATGCTACGCCTGCTGTATCAGCGTCAATATTTTTGTACATTGTCTTATTAAATAATGACTTTAAAATACATGTCTGAATTGACTTTGTGATTCTGGGTACCTCAATTTGATCATTCTGGGAAATTTGGGAATCAGGAAAAATATCATTATAGACTGGATAGTTTCTTTATACCTATATTATATACTCAAATGCCCCTTTAGGGCATGTAAAAAAGAAGAATCCATAGTCCTGTGTGGAGAAATGCATCTCTTTCATTAGAGTTGCATTGAGAAGGGATCTCTTCACAGACAGGAACAACTACAGCGAGCAGTAACTCTTTTGATGTACATATGGAAACGTTACCATAGATTTAACACAGACTTCCAAAAAAAAGGCATCATCTGGACAATTTCTCCCTCCTGGCAGTTCAAGTTTGCAGGTTTGGAGCTTTTACATCTGAAAGGTGGCACACATTTAAGGTGCACTTTTTCTGTTTTAAATTAGTTGTAGTTGGTTATAGTTTTTAGCCATGCTATTGGCTTTGGGTTTGGAGAGGAACATGTTGCTATTTTGTTGCTAATACTTTTAATGTTTATGTCCAAATACCTGCAAATCTAATGAGAGTCCCATCGACTTCAGCTGTACTTTGTGTCTAGCGCCAATTAATGTGAGCATGCTAACCAAACTAAAATGGTGACAATGGTAAACATCACAAGCTTAGCATCATCATGCTAAAATCATCAGATTACCATAGTCATTTGTTAGTATTAGTTAGCATGCTAACGATAGCATTTAGCCCAAAGCACCACTGTGCCTACGTACAAGCACAGTCTTGTTAAATTCCTGTGGGTTTCACAAACTTCTTCTGCCATTTTTATCACTTAAAGGTAAATTTCTTGCTACAACACACACAAACCTCTATTTTCACACAACTGTAATTATGTAATAATGACACAACAATAGCATGATTCTGCAAGCGTGATTTTGTGTGTATCTGTGCTACAAGAACCATATGAACTATCTAAGAGGACATTATGTCAACAGTCTTTTATTTTCATCCAGATCACCTGTGACTTGCACAGCAAAACACAGTTTCCAACTTCACTCCTTTACATTAAAAAAATTAGAACTCTTTAATACATTCTTAAAAACATCTTGTATAAATCATTAAACAGAGCTGATATAATCTGTACAGCAGGCACACATTGAGTATATATTACACTTCATTAAAAAAATACATATATAAATCCCAAACTTGAAAATCCCACTTCAAGTATTGATCAGTAGTTGGTTGATAACCCACAGATAATAACCCCAGACTTTACAGTAAAATGCATCAAATAACACCTAAAAAATAAATCAGATTCTTAAAAACCTCAGTACTGTCTTTGAACCCCAATATAAAGGACACGTTTTCAAGGAAGACCTTGCATATTGCACATCCACTCATGTCACAGCACACATCCACACACACACACACACACACACACAGCAAACGCATACCTTCCTTTAGTGCACATCACATTTTTATCTTTCTCTTGGTTTAAGGACCTCACAGGTGTTTGGATATGTATCCCACAATCTGTAAGCTCAGTTCTTTTCTGGGTAAACATTTACGTACAGACAAGCCTGTATACACACGTTCACACATGCAAACATGCAACTGTACTAGGACATTAAACCCTGTTAGGTCCCTTTCCAGTACATGCTCGAACTTAACCATAATCCTGATGGGAAATGTCGCCCTGGAACAAACAAAATATCCTCACTCACAGATTTTGGTGATTTGTTTTCTCTACTTATGAGGACCTTTGAGGGCCTGGTGTACACAAACACACATACACACAGATTTTCATAAAAGGCCACGTGTTTGGGTCTGCAGACACAGACAAAGAGTCTGCTCTTCAGTCAAGTCCATCTGCAGTCCACAATGTGACCCCCAACCACCACACATAAGGTTGACTGGAGGCTGGGTGGGGGGGAGAGGGTTAAAGCCTGAGACGTCTCATGAGTACAGACAGTGAGAGGTTTTATACCCATCACTTGGCTCAGTACTATGTTCCCGGCTGCTCTCCATTTAAAAGCGCCACTTTGGCCTCTGAGTCCAGCACTGCGTGCAACTCCAGCCCTGAGTCCCACTCGTCTTCCTCCCCGAGCTCCTCCTCTACCGACACCTCTTCCACTCCTCTGCCTCGGCGCCCCCTCCTGGCCCGGTGACCTTCCCGTCTCCTGTGCAGGCAGAGGAGGCCCCTGAGGTCCAGGGGGGCCAGTGTGACCTCCAGTGTACAGTAGAGAGACCAGAAAAGAGCAAAGCAGCCCAGCAACAGGATGAACTGGAGTGGATGACAAAGGAGAGAGACAGAGGAGGTAAATCACAACAGCAGAGCCACTCACTGATGGATGCATGTGTGGATGAGGAGGAAGAAAAGCATGAATGAGCATAAAAATGGCTACAAAGAGGGGAAAAGGAGAGTAAAAGAGTGATAGAAAAAATGTTGACAAACTTTAAGCACTAGGGACTTATTATTCCTTCATGGTTTGGTTGAAAGAATAATTTGGAGAATATTCCTTTTTAACCAGACTTATATAAATGTTTTTTTTATGTCTTATAAAGACAGTTTGGATCTATTAGTGGATGTCTACGGGACCAATTAGCATCTTTGCTAAAAGATTACTTAATTAACTTAATTAAAAGATGCATGCATTTTGGAAATATTACAAGCAACATTTTAACTTCACTTTTAACCTAGTAATCACTTTTAATTTTAGATTCACTACCTGAATGAAGGTGAAAAACTGTTTTTTTTTTACCACAAATGGTAAATAGCAGGCAGGATCTCCTGCCAGACAGCAACCCGCCCTTATTTCCACAGGTCCAATAATTATTTTTGGGTTAAAATGTCAGGTCAAATAAGAAGATATTGGTCATATGGATATACATAAATATCTGGGGTTCAGGTGTACCAGTCTTCATGAAACGGGTATAACTTGAATGCAGCCTGAGATGAAGTTTTGCTGAAGCTCAGAACGGGTACATGTCCTCAATAGATAGATAAGATACTGTATATTTCAGAAACAGCAATTCTAAAGTGGTCAGTTGTCTGTTCTTGTGAAAACTTTTGTTTAAAAAAAAAAAGTAATGATGTTCTCTGATTTCAGAAAATGCATCAAATTCCGTACCGTCCCTGTGGGGAATAGAACTCTGAAAAATGAAGTTAGTGAATTCCTTTGACTCTGTAAGAGTGAAAAGAAAACGGTCCTGGCCTCTGGGTCTGACAGAAGATAAGACAGACATGGTAAACATGTGTGGTGTTGGTTCTGGACTGTGCACAGTTTACCTTGAGGCTGTTGGAGGTGAAGGGGCTGACGAGCTCTGGAGGGATGTTCAGTCCTGGGGGGCAGGGCAGAGAGAAACTGCTGTCCAGATACTTGCCACTCATAGCCTCCTCCACCAGCCTGTCAGTCAATGCACAGCCAATCAGCAAGCAGTCAAAACACTGAGCCAAACTTTATCACTGGATTCAGGTTAGAAGTACTTGATAGGATTAATTGAGTGTGACACAATAAAATGGAAGCTTATCGTTAAAGACACTACAACAATTATATGCAACATATAATTAAAACTGGAATGAAAACCACAAAAGTCCAGGACAAACAGCCCTAATGCACCAGGGAGGGAACAAAACAAGCATTCAATAAAACAGATCATCTCAAAACCAGACGGCTTTACCTCTGTCGTTCCTTGACCTCACTCGCGGTCATAGAGGAGCCATACAAGGTCAACGACCACTGCTTCAACACTCCCACACCGACACACTGCTCAATCTTCTCTTCTACAGGAGCAGAGAGAAGAGTCAGTGTGGGCAGGTTTATGAGGTCCCAAGGAAAACAACGTAAACAATACCATACAAGAGACAGGCATGTGAGTGTGTGTGTAAAGACATTCCCATTGCATTGCTGACACTGCGCAGTATTTGTCAGTTTGTCAGTGTGTGAGCAGTGTCTTACTCTGGTCTGATATCTTGAGGGTGTACAGGCCTTTAGCTTTCTCTCCCCAGCAGCGCACAGTGGAGAAAGTCCAGTCCTGGTAGCCTGCAGGGTCTCTGTGTGACAAACACAAACTTAATTAGACTGCAGTCAAAAACAATTATTTTACATCTAAGGTACTGTTATATATGATCATTTCTTATTTGCTTTTGTAGCTAGAATACCCAACTTTCCTCTACTTAGTAAATTAAGAAACTGAACTCACTTGCCCTTTAATTACTACTAATTTAATGTTTCATTCTTCTTATATTGATACCTATGCATGGGTTTGTATGTGCGTACCTGTCGATGGTACGACGTGCCCCGATGACTGATGTCATACCACTGGGGCAGACTAAGTCAAACTGCAAATTGCCACGGCAAGGGTGGGTTATCGTCACGGTAACAGCCACATGCTCCAGTGTCTCCATTCCAGACTGTCTCAGATCAGCAGTGGAGACTGAGGGAGCGGAGAGAGCAGCTTAGTGTGTGTGTGTGTGTGTGTGTGTGTTGACCATTACCTAGATTTATGAGGGTAGTCATGTGCCTGTAAATGGGAAAAATTGACTTCTCATTAAAACAAATGAAAAACATATTGAAGAATATGTGAAAAATGTAATTTAATAAGTGTACTGCAGGTAAGTTAAATTACAGACTTTTTAAGACATTCCTAATACTACACATAGTAATAAATGCAATTTAACATTTTTCATACCAGCCAGAGTATGAAAGTATGATGGAAAGCCAGTAGGTAGGATATGGCCTGGAATTATTCATTATTGTATTATGTTTTTCAGTACTTCCCAAAAGATAGAACTAATTAAATGAATGCGACCTGGTCCTACATAAAACTGACACTTAAAGAGTGTCATAAAGAGACAAGGAGCTTCTAGTTACTGTAGGCAGCAGTAGTGACAGTGCATGCTCTAGGTCTTAACAGCTTTTCAAGACCTGCAAATACTCTGTTTAGGAGAAATGTACAAATTGTACAAGCAATGTATGAAGATGGATGCTCTAATAAGACAAAACTGTATTGATCACCAAATACTAATGGTTGCATTATAAATATAAGGATATATATTAAACATTTTTAAACCTATATGTGGTAATATAAGAGCTGAATTTGTTCATCTTACATGATTATGTTGCACATTAAATGCACGTCATACAGAGAGAAAACAAGCTGCTAGCTGAGGAATACAATAAGGGGAGACTAAGGTAGTTAACTATGGTGTCATGGCAATTTAAAAATCAATTTTCCATCAAAACTCTGGATCTTTCTTCTCCACTTTCTCTCCTTAAAACTCGTATCAGTCAGTCAGGGGACCACCTCTCACCCTCCCACTGCAAGTGTCTGGTAATTTCTTGGTATTTCCTGGGCTCGGACTGCTAATGAGCCATGGTGCTCTCTGACCATGTAGGGCTGCATACATCCTCGGGGCAGGGACGGACGCAAAGGGACGAGGGAGCGAGGAGTGTAAACAGAGGTGTGGAAGGAAAGACAGAGAGTCAGGGTAGAGAAATGTAGAGCAAAAAGAGGGAGGTAGAGAAAGAGGCAGGGGAGAGACGGTCAGGAGATGGAGACAAGAGGAGGAAACAGTACAGAGGATGTGAAATAAGGTGGAGGCTGAGTGTGGAGGGGCAAAATGAAAGGAGAAAAAAGAAAGAAGGGCAGGGCTGTATAAACTCTCTCCCATCAAGAGGCTTTATATCAGTAATATACTCCAGACTGTTGTCCAGGTAACAGAAGCACTT